ATTAGCCTTCACTATATCGGCTAATGATTTATCTAATCATCAAATTATCATTAAAAAATCTTGTTCATATCGGCCTTTATATCTTCTATATGATAAACAAATCATCTTAATGATATGCGAATGTTAATTTCCGTATATGCATCATAATTTACTCTAATCTTCCGCATATTGGCTTTTTTTATACACTATCATATCGGTTCATAGCCATCACTATATCATCCTGCTATCACCTAGGCTGATTATTTGAAGATACAGGGAAGATATTTTTGATTTCAACCTGTGTATTCAGCTTCATAAGTGAGATCATAATTAAAAATTATATAATATTCGGCTACATAAGTGAGGTTCATAATCAAAAATCATGCAATAAACAACTTTATAATAAAGCATGTTATAATAAGTATTAAATATTGACATGTTAAAAAAAGATATATTTTTTTGTATAAAATCTATGCAAATATTATGGATCTTTGTTTGTAGTATAGTTTACTTCAAAATATATTGTAGATCTAATACATTTAATAATTAAATTGATTTAATTAAAAAATAAAATATACTACCATAATTATGTTTTTTATAATCTTTTTTTGTTTAATTTACAGTATTAATTAATATAAATAAAATATTATAATTTCATTGTATTTATTTTAACATTTATTAGTTACTAAATATTTGGTTGTTCGTTTAAAAATGTCTTTTAAAGGCTAAGAAGTAAGATTGATATTTAGAAATAGATTAAGAATTAGTAAAATTATACAGTAAATAAAAAATATATACAAATTTTGTACATAAGCCAAAATTAAAATAAAAAATAAAAAATCTTTTTCGCGCTTAAATCTCTCAATAATGGCTAGTATTGCATAAAGAAAGCCTTTACAATATCTCTCTTTATATAAGATTCTGGTAATGCAAGAATATTATGAATTAATACACATAATAATTTATTTTTCTTATAAAGCCGTAGAATATATCATAGAATAAAGTACCTGATTATATATTTAATGATAACGATATCTTATTTGGGGATACTTATGCAGTATTAGTTGAGAGAAGTATCCTTTATTTCCGATGATCTATTATAATCCGTGAAGGCTTCATCATATCTGCCTAACGAATAATAGGTATATCCACGATTATATAATGTGTCTGCATTATTTGGATCTAGTTCTAATGATTTATTGAAATCTGCAAGTGCTTCTTCATATCTATCTATCTTGCAATACGTTAACCCACGATTGTTTAATGTTTTTACATTATTTGGTTCTATTTCTAGTGATTTATTGTAATCTGCAAGTGCTTCTTTGTATTTATATATCTTACAATAAGTTAACCCACGGTTATTTAATGCATTTATATTATTAGGACAAATTTTTAATGACTTGCTGTAATCTGCAATTGCTTCCTTGTACTTTCCTATCTGCTTAAAAGTCAATCCACGATTATAAAATACTTCTGCATTGTTTGGATCTATTTCTAATGATTTATTATAGTCTATAAATGCACTTTCATATCTACCCATCTTGTAATAAATTGACCCCCGATTATTTAATGTACTTGCATTATATAGCTCTAATTCCAATGATTTATTGAAATCTACGAGCGCTTTTTCATACCTATTTATCTTACAATAAGTTAATCCGCGATTATAAAATGTGCTTGCATTATTTACATCTATTTCCAACGATTTAGTATAATCTATAAGTGCTTCTTCGTATCTACATATATTACAATAGGTTAATCCCCGATTATTTAATGTATTTGCATTGTTCGGTATTATTTCTAGTGATTTACTGTAATCTGCAATTGCTTCGTTAAATTTAAGCATACTATTATAAGTTAATCCACGATTATGAAATGTATTTGCGTTATTTGGTTCAATTTCTAATAATTTATTATAATCAGCGAGCGCTTCTTTATATTTTCCCATTTTATAATAAATTGATCCACGATTATTTAATGTATTTGCATTATTTGGCTCTAATTCTAATGATTTGTTGTAATCTGCAAGTGCTTCTTTATACTTGCACAAATTATCATAAGCTAATCCGCGATTATAAATTGTAATTGCATTATTCGGTTCTATTTCCAACGATTTGTTATAATCTCCAATTGCTTCTTTATATTTACACAAATTATTATAAGTTATTCCACGATTATTTAATGTACTTGCATTATTTGGTCTTATTTTCAATGATTTATTGTAATCTGAAAGTGCATTATCATGTCTACCTATCTTCTCGTATATTATTGCACGATTATTTAGTGTACTTGAATGATTAGGTCTTATTTCTAATGATTTACTGTAATCTGCAAGTGCTTTATCATATACGTTCATATTATCATAGGTTGATCCACGACAACTTAGCGTATTTGCATTATTTGGATTTATTTCTAATGATTTATTAAAATCTGCAAGTGCATCTTCATATTTATCCATTTTGTAATAAGTTAATCCACGATTATAGAATGCATTTACATTATTTGGGTCTATTTCCAATGATTTATTATAATCCGCAAGTGCTTCTTCATATCTACCCATCTTTTTATAAATTAATCCACGATCATTTAGTGTATTTACGTGATTTGGGTTTGTTTTCAACAATTCATTGTAATATTCAAGTGTTTCCGTATCATCATAAGCTGACTCATGATCGTAAAATGTATATATACTATTTCGATCTATTTCTAACGATTTTGCAAACAACATTTCATATTTGTCTACCTTGTAATAGGATTTATTACAATTGGCAGGCGCTTTTCCATATCGTTCTATCATTTTATAAGTTAATTTGCGATTATACGACGCTTTTGCATTTAACGGATCTAATTCTAATGCTTTATTAAAATCGGAAAGCGCTTGTTTATATTTTCCCATTTTAAAATAAATTGACCCACGATTAATTAATGTATTTGCGTTATATAGTCCTATCTCTAATAATTTATTAAAATCTGCAAGCGCCTCTTCATATCTATCTATGTCACAATAAGCTAATCCTCGATTATGTAATATATCTGCATCATATGGATCTATTTCTAATAACTTGTTATAATCTGCGAGCGCTTCTTCAAATCTGCCCATATGAACATAAATTGATCCACGTTTATTTAATATATTTGAATCACTCGGATCTATTTCCAATGATTTACTGTAATCAGCAAGCGCTTCCGTGTATCTTCCTATTTGCTTAAAAGTTAATCCACGATTATTTAGTAATATATTATTATTTAGTTCAATTCCTAATGACTTATTAAAATCTGCAAGCGCTTTATCGTATTTCCGTATTTCCAAGTAAGTCAATCCACGATTATTTAATGTATTTACATTATTTGGATCTATTTCCAGTGATTTATTGAAATCGATAAATGCTTCTTTATATCTGCTTGCTTTATAATAAGTTAAACCTCGATTATTTATTGTATTTGCATTGTTCGGTTCTATTTCTAATGATATACTGTAATCTGCAAGTGCTTCTTCATATCTTCCTAGCTTATAATAAATTAATCCACGATTATGAAATGCGTTAGCATCATTCTGATTTAATTCTACTAATTTATTAAAATCTGCAAGCGATTCTGTATATTTGCCTATTTCATCAAATATTCGAGCTCTATACGTATAAGCTAAAGGTTTTGATGATTTTAATTGAATTACTATGGCTAGATCTTTTAAAGCTTGCAGATATAATCCAAGTTTCCAAAATGCAAATGCTCTTCTACATTGAACAGAATAACTTTTTGGATAATATTGCAAAACTTGAGTTAACCATACCATAGCTGTCGTATAATCTTCCTGGTACTCTGCCTCAGCTGCTTTATTAAATGCTGGATGCAAACCTTTTGGACAAGTTTTTCGTAAAATTGAAACAGGAGATTTTAATGATAAATGGATTCTAAATATATGCATTTTATCCATTTTTAAAAACATATCAGTTAAATAATTTTTGTTAGTTGATATTTCCCGGGTTTCCAAATTACTTAAACATCCTGCTCGTTTTAATCTTTCGTGAAGACATTTTATCATTGCGTCTTGTATAAGATTATAGAGTGATTCTTCTTTGATTTCAGTCCTACAAAATGGACATTCGAATAATAATTTACCCTCAAGCACCGACATTTTTTTCCACTCATCAATAGCATAATAACTAACAGAATGACCGCAGCACGATAGAACAAGAAAATCGCCTGTTATTTGGCCGGTAATTGGGCAAGTAAAATTTTCAGCAATCATTTCTAATAAAAAATTTAAATCTTCATCTGATGAATTTTTCTTAGTTACTGGTTTTTTTTTGCTATTGATCGTATTTAATTTTCCTATAATTTCATTTTCTAACTGAAGTTTTTTCTTTACATCATGAATTAGGTTGTTAAAATCGTTCTGAGCATCTTTCGGTAATGCTTCAATAAATTTCTCTATTTCTCTTTGTACCATGTCCTCAAACCAATCAGGTTCTCGATAAGATAATGATAAAAGTAATTCTAAAGATTTGAATTGAATAAAACAACCTTGAGATTTTCGCAATGATTCTAAACCTAAATAATAACAAAGAGCTAAGCTAGTAGGTTGAATTGTTTTATAGCTTAAAATTTGGGCGAGATCTAATATTCCAAACCATAACATGTTTGATAGGGTAAATGACTCTTCACTGGTCCATAAATTTGAAAATTCATTTTGATCATTTAAAATTGTAAAAATATCCACATGAGTTGACTGTTTGTAATCCTCATTAAAAACATGCTGCCAAAGAGATTCGAGAATATAAGTCTCGTTATAGAATTGTATTATATTATAATTTCTATCCTGAGATAGAATTTTTAATGAATAATGTACAAAAAGAAGTTCACGCCATATTGGATACCAGTAACCAACAGGATATTTAATTCTAAGAACATCGGAAAATCTTGGTATAGTCCCACTAACAAATAATTCACCAAGAGTAACCGGAATGTTTCTGAAACCATTAGATTTTTTAGGAATGGCCCTAATAAATGTTAAAAGACCTCTATTGACATATCTTGAAAATTCATCAAAATAAGTTTCATCATCACGCATAATATGTAAGGTGTCGCGCAAATGGAGTAATAAAAAGTTAATGTTATAGTTCGGAAAATTCGTAACATTATCATTAGTGTTATCAATTTCTTTACTATGATCGTTGCCCTGACTAAAAGTTTTGCTTATTTGATAGTGAATATCAATAAAACTATTTAAATTATTATATAGTTTTTCTCGTATTTCACGATTTAATACAATAGGATAATAGAACGCTGTTTCTAAAACTGTAGTCCAAGTCCGAAGGCGTAATTCTAAATGTGGAATAGTATTACCTATACTACATTCAAACGAAGAAGCGTTTCCAAGTAATAAGAGCGCATCAATTAATAAATCTGCAGGAAATTTTACTTCAGGATCTTCAACTAAAAGTTTGAATCCAATTAAGTTTGACGGTTCGCTAAAATCTTTCATTAACTCTTTAGCACGATCAATAATTGCATTTTGATCTTCTATTTTAGCATTACTTTCGCTATGAGTAGTAAAAGTTGAATTATTTGAATATTCCTCCTTAATATTCAATAAAAAATTCAAATATTTAGCAACATGCAATGGAAATCATAAAACAAAAAAAAAAACAAAAAAAAACATTACTCTTACAGTCGAAAAACTAGAACTAGGAATTTCGTAACTTTCTTCCATTAATAACTTATAAAAAAATTGCTTTTTGAACTTTGTAATATTTGCAAAAAATTTCTTTGTATTTATCGGTCATGAAATATTTAAATTGTTAAAAATTTTCTCAACTCTTGGGTAAATCTCTGAATCTGTGCGCTACATAAAATAATCTTGGTGTATTATTTACGGTGATACATGCTTTTAAAGCATATGCAAGGTATGGCTAGTTGTGAAACTAAAGATCTGACAATGACAACATACCACTATTTCAAATGGACACAAAATACCAAAATATTATTACAAATTGCAAAAGTTTCACCAATCAAAAAGTATTTAAGAATTCCATTTGTTCGATATCCTTTCTACAAATGATTTGCCTACCCATTTTCTAGAATCTCGGTACTTGTTAAGGAAATGATTTCTAGATCGTGTTATTATATTAAGAACTTCATAATCGGATTGCAATTACTGTAGCACAGACTTTGAACATCATACTACGTATATGGTGCTGCCAAAGGAAAACCTGTAAGTAAAAAAATCAACGTAATTACTACTATATATATAATATATAATAATGGTAGCGTTAATTTTTACTTGGCGGCTCACATATTTATTGTTCAAGTCGTGACCAATAACTGCAGATATTTGGCGAAAATTTTTGATGGATAATCAGTTATCCATCAAAGATTTTTACCATAATATTTCATTATTCGAAAATATTTGTTTTATGCATTCGGCCGCGATAGCGGACCTAACAGATCTTTGACGAATGATGCAGTTATTGGCGTATTATCCTTCTGTCTACGACGATCTACATGTGGCGCTCTTATATTATTGAATTTAAATAAAAAAAATTAATTGAAATTGTCGATTAATGCAGATCATAGTGGATTGAAGGATAAAAGTAGGATAAAAGGGGTTATCTGACGATTCCTAGGTAAGCACCTGACGTTTTTTCATATCATTCTTGTTTGTCATAATCATTTATGCAAGAGATCACGACAAAAAATTTCTCATGCTAATAAGTTATAATATAAACAATAACATCAAATATCATATATTGGTCATACAAAATAAAAGGAAAATTTTTCGGAGTTCATGACACTCATGTGCACATAGGAGTGACATGAACTCCGATGAAAAAAGACCAGATCAATATTAGGAATGAAAGATTTAAAACATGTGATGATTATGATCCGAATATATTAAAATCGGTGAAAATTGATTTTTTTACCAATATTTTATAAAAATCACTCTGATTCTCAGAGATATATGCAACAGAATTTATTTTAGAAACTTAATTAATTATATTAAATTGGCAACTATTAAGTGCGATATAGTGCATAGATTCTAATCTTAAAAGTGTTATTAGAACAATCTTTAATAATAGTAGATTTTTGTTATTTTTTTGATCTTAATTAAACCAAAAATCAATTTTTTTATTTTAGTGTATATTTTACGTATATTATTTAGATTTGTTTATATATGATTTATTTATTTTATTAATACGCATCAATTTTGTCATGGCAGATTCTCGATTTTGATTGGCTAACTACTGACAAAATTTTGGCACGTATTACATATATTAATATACCATATTTGCGGTAAATATGTAGTACCCGGGTCTCTTACATTCCTAGTAGTGAAACAGTTTGTGATTTTTACCTAATTTGGGTTCGGGAGTTTTTGAAACCAGGGCTAAAACGACATAGTAAATGCCGGACATCCAAAATACCGTTTTTGATCTATCTAAATTAAAAATAATATATTAACAAAAACAATAACATAAATAATTTCTTATTTTACTATTGCTCTTTGATCGCAATAGTTATGCATCAAGAATGACACTTTGGATCTCCGGCATTTACTATATGTTTTAGTCCTGTTTGAAACCCAAACCTGTACTTATTTTTGCATATCCCAAACCTCAGGGGCCATACGAAATTAACATAACGCAGGATGAAACAACGTGGCGTATGTGATATTGTAGGTGAATTATTTTCACAATTGTGAAAATAATTCTCCTGCATCACTAGACAATAAAAATTTATTTACCTTATGATTCGCGCTCTAGCCAGCGATTTACAAATTTGCAATTACGACACAATCGGTGAATCTAGTAAAAATCTTTGGGAATCTACTGAATCCCAAATTATTGGATTTGGTTTACATTGCTAATTCCTAGGGCAAAATCTTGATTAGTACCCGGTGAGTACTTTGTCAGATGGAGGATATTTTATGTGGGGAAGTTTATATAAGGAGAATACGTAAATGCAATTAGGTTGACCAATCATTTAATAGGATTATAACGAAATTGAAAGAAAAGATATAAAGAAATCATGCACTATATAAATTGCGTTTTAGATATATCCGGGTTTTTTAAAATCATGTTTGCGACACATACTTGATTAATCCCAGGTACAAATCGTGGTCGAATAAAGCTCCACTCGGCATCACGTAATCCCGATATGATCTGATTTGAAACAGTTATTTGATGCAAATAGGAGACCTTTAAGATACAAATCGGATTCATATAGGCGTTCAACGGAATTCCGATAGCTCTATTGGTAAATCAATAAAGCTTGCCTTTAGTTTTATCGATTTACCAATATATTTCTATATGTCCTATATAATCCGATTTGTGTTTAAAGGCAGGTTCATATCGGGATTGCGTGATGCCGATTGGAGGCCGATTTGCCTTCATTCGACCTTGAAGGGGTTATTTGCCGAAAATTACGATAATTGGTAATTTTCGACCAGAATTAACATTTTTTATTCAAAAAAAAAAAAAAATTTTTTTTGGAAAAAGTAGGTCTGTTCTATAGTAAAATTAGCCCAGGAATATTTTTCACTTAATGGGCAGCTGGAGTAATCCCGACCTAAATTGTTCCTAGTCAATCAAAATCGAAAATCTGCCGTGACAAAATTGGCGTGGTTAAGTAGTTCATAGGATCGATTTTTTGTTCATTCAGAATTAGATGTAGCTTGAAAAAATTCAAAATAAATTCTCGGTTTGCAAAAATCATTTATCTCAAAATTTAGGCTTGTAAATCACCGACCCCAGACATCTCTGATATAGGTCATATTATTTTTTTTAGCAAATTGCAGAAAATTTGGTCAGAGATGAGGTCCTAATAAAAGAATTCCTCGTTCAACGACAGGCAATTTTAAATTTAGGGTGATAATTAAGGCTCCAGCTTCTAAAACGCCACCATTTTGCTAATAAATACAACCCGTTTTTATTTTGTTAAATAATCTAAATATATTTGCATAAATTATATAGCTAAATCAAGCATCTAAATATAAAATTCTACTTGTACGTATATGGTTCGGGCTGCAGCGTTGGCAATAGAGTCAATGGAGCTCCTAATGAAGCTCAATACTACTATTCATTGGTCCATTCAGGGTTCCATTGGGCTTCATTGAAACTCTGCAGCCCATTATTTCGGTATCGTATCATTAATTAATCCCAGATTACTATATTACATCACAGAGATTACTCAGATGTTATTCGAATATAAAATTGTACAAAAGTCTAATGCATAATAAAATTCCATCCATACAACAGTATCTTTAAAACAAATTATTAAGATCTGGAATGTCTTCTAAATCTATCCATAGATCAATATGATTTCCAGATAATACCTGAGAAATTATTTGTTGTGGCAAGAATTGTTTGCCTTCAGAGTTAGGTGACGATTTTATTACAAACCTTTTTCCATTAGGAGCACCCGTTGGAAATACAAATTTAATAAGGTCACCGAATGTTGTATCTAAAGTAATATGTATATTGCTTTTAAAGGGAGACTTTTTTTTCGTATGGAGAGTTACCAATCCTAACGTTGATTCTTCCGGTAAGTTAGTATCTGCATTTTTATTCTATACGATTAATTAGAGTAAATAATTAAATATTATAAATTTCATTATTTGTATTAAATTAATTAATTGTTAAACAACTACCTGAGCTGTTTCTTGAAAGGTTTGCGATTGAGAGTATGGTGATGAATCGTCTTCAGGCGTAAATCTTGGTGCACAGTTTGGTGGTGAATCTTCAGAATCTTTAGATGGTGGATCTTTAGATGATGGATCTTTAGATGGTGTTTCTTTAGATGGTGTTTCTTTAGATGGTGTTTCTTTAGATGGTGGTGGATCTTTAGATACTATTAATCGATCTAATGCTGTTTATTAAATAGAAACATAAGTAATCGATAATGAAATTATAAAGCGAAGATTATATACGCCATCCTTGAATCTCATCAGGTAAAGTTTGTTCTTTATTATTTCTATCACTATTGATGGAGATTTTATTGAATTGTCCAGTAGTTTTATCGACAGCATAAACCTTTTAAGAGAACTAAAAAATGTGAGGTACTAGGAATTTTTTACAAGTCAGAAAGCTGATTAAAAAAATACGAACGTTTAAAAATAAACTATTATCAATATCAAACGTGACTTCAATTTGTGGTGTGCCTCGAGGAGCTGGAGGAATACCAGTAAGAATAAATTTACCAAGCAAGGTGTTATCTTCTGTACTGGCACGATCACCTTCATATACTTTAATAAATAAGGCAGGTTGGTTGTCATAATATGTAGAAAAGATCTCCCTTATTTTCGTAGGCACTGAAGTATTTCTTTTTATAAGCGGGGTCATAACCCAACCATCAGTTTCAATACCAAGAGATGAGTAGATAGTATTGAGCAAAAGAAATTCATCCAATTTTCCTGATACGTTGCCAGATAATTTAGCAGCGAATGCTGCAGCACCATAGGCAACAGATTCATTAGGATTAATGGATTTATTTAGTGGTTTACCGTTAAAGAAATCCGAAATAACTTTTTGAACCATAGGAATACGAGTAGAACCACCAGTCAAAATAATTTCATGAACTTGAGTTTTATCTATTTTACCATTTCCAAGCACTCTTTCAATTGGTTCGAGAATAGATCTAAATAAATCCTGATTTAACATTTCAAATTTGGTACGAGTCAAACGAGTGTAGAAGTCAATGTTATCAAAAAGAGCATCGATTTCAATATTTGCACTATTTGAAACAGAAAGCGTGCATTTTGCACGTTCACAAGCAACCCTAAGACGACACATTGCACGAGCATCTAAAGTAAGATCCTTTTTAAACTTGGATTTAAATTCTTGAACAAAATAATTAACTATTCTTTGATCAAAATAATTTCCTCCAAGGATGGGATCACAAGCTTCAGCCTTCACTTCGATGACAGAATCCTCCAAAGTGGTGAGAGATACACCAAGGATTTCACTTCCAAGATCAATAGTTAGAATATTACATTCGTCTGTTGATTTATGTGACAATATATAGGTGATTACTGAAGCTGATGTATCACTAATAAGTCTAAGAGTATTCAAACCAACCGCATAAGCAGCATTTTTAATGGCTTGCCTTTGTACTAAACTATAGTATGCTGGAGCAATAACAGCATTATCAATCTGTACACCAGTAAAATTTTCAGCATCCTCTTTTAACTTTGACAATATCATAGAACAAATTGCTTCAGGTGTAAAATATTTAGTAGCACCCATCTCTTCAGTTTTAAAATAAGGCATATTATTTCTATCAACGATATTAAATGGCCAACGCTAACAAGAGAAAGACAGTTAGTTATAGGAATATAATATAAAGTATTTTATTAAAAAAATTCATACTCTTAGATTCATAATCAGATCTGTTTGGTCATTAAAGTTACAACCAACAAATTTCTTAGAACTATAAAAAGTATTGCAAGGGTTTCTAGATATTTGATTTTTGGCAGAATCACCAACTAAACGTCCATGATTAGTGAATGCTACATATGAAGGAGTGATGAGATTGTCACTATCATTTGTAATTATTTGAGTATGGTCTACTTTCCAAATACCCATACAAGAATATGTTGACCCTAGATCAATACCAACTAATAATTTGAAATCATGTTATTCAATTTCGGATTCATATTGTTAAAAAATTGTTAATATCAAACATACTAGACATGTTTTTTTTTTTTTGCTTGTTCACTCTTAATTATTGTATTGTTTAGGAATTAATGCTAGAAACAGTGTGTTTTAAGATGTTTGTAAAATTAAACGAGACGGTAAAGTAATTTAACGCTTAAATTTTAATTAAAGGTTGGATCAATGAAATTTAATCCACATTATAAGCATATTTGGTTTTTACATATGTATGTGCATACGTACATTTTATCACCACTTTGGAAAAGTTACAGTAATACAAATTTGGACAGTCGTACGTACGTACTGTACTGTACTGAACGAAGTACGCTTATATTAGAGTCTTGTTAACGCCACCCCCCACTTTTGTTAATGGCACCCCCCAGATATAAAAAGGCTCCGGAAGAGGTATTTTTATTAAGTAAATCCTTATTTTGACCTTAATAAAAGTTGTTCATCAGTCCTTTCCGGTTCTAATGGTAGTAAAATCATTTAAATTGGGCCAGTAGATTTTTTTAAAGTAAATAAAGTTAACTAACTTCGGGTATATATATCTTAGGAACTACTGGTCTGATTTTTATGATTTAACTACCATTAGAACAGCAAAGGCATGATGAACAACTTTTATTAAGATCGAACCAAGGATTTACTTAATAAAAATACCTCTTCCGGAGCCTTTTTATATCTGGGGGGTGCCATTAACAAAAGTGGGGGTGGCGTTAACAAGACTCTTTAATTATATTGCATTATATTATTCTATCGGATTATCGCTGTTTTCGAAATGGCTGAGAATAGCAAAATTTACAAAAAAAATTTTTTTATGCGAATACCCGAAAACCCGATTAGTTTAGAACATTAAAACAATTATGCGAGTGTATATGTAAATTGGAATCGATTGTTGACCAGTGTTCTAAACTAATCGGGTTTTCAAGTTTTCGGGTATTCGCATAAAAAAAATTTTCTTTGTAAATCCCGCTATTCTCAACCATTTCGAAAACAGCGATAAATTTTCTAAATACAAACCTTTCTGAGTGCGGTGGTCTCGATAGTTTGCACTCAGGGAGGGTTGATCGTACTACCCTGTAACACGTACGGCGGTATTAGCAATTTGTAAATTGTAATATACTATAATAGACATTAATTACTTTGAATGTAAATACAGTAGATTATCCGGCAGCTTACTATGATAGTGCTGCCAAAATAACTATATATTATGTCAAACATTATTACAGTAATTTCGAAAGTACGTACGTGTAGTTAACGAAGCTTATAAAATTTAGCTTTTAAAGTGAATCCCTTTTAATGATTAGGTTAGAGAGATCGTTCTAATATTCTTTTCCGTGTTAAGATATGGTACAGATAGACTATGTTGAAAACTTCTTTGTTTAAATAATTGATTTTTTTTTATAAACTGTACAATATTTCCTCCCAATATTGATATTTCACGTATTTTATAAAAACTTGATAGGTTGTTGTCATTCTGAACCGTAAAAAAATTTGAAAACATGAAAAAAAAAGCATTCTTCTGTCAATCGATTGCCAACCAATTTAAAATTTTCCTGATGTAGTTAATTCGTAATAGTTATATCCTGGGCAGTTGGGTATAAGCGGGACTTTCAGCCCGCTTATACACATAGTGCCCAGGGTATAACTGATTTATGCCCTGCGATCTTGATATAGTGACCAGGGTATAAATTCGGATAAATCTCCTTCACATAGTCATCACTTGACTGTTTAAAATTGTATAAAATTTAGAATCTTGAACCTAGGGATGGTAAAAATCATGATTTAAATCATTTATTACAAAAATTTTTATATAGAAAAATATAAAATTATTTTTCAAAAGCTCACCCGGAAGTATTCATAATAAATAACTTATTTAAAGGCAAATGCCAGCTGGATAAACAAAAACACCTTGCCAAGTTCGATCTGCATTTCGAACCTGTCAAACCATCTTTTGAAGTAGTAAAATTTGATGAATCTTTTCTTATAAAAGATTTTTACATTTATTAAATAGTCCTTTAAAGATCATTATGCGTGATATCCTCTTCACAGTGGATACATATTTGGCGAGGTGTCCAGTAATGTTTTTATAAACGTCTTTAAAAGTCTTCCGAGAGTTCTTTACCATACATTTAAATTACAGGTTTTGGCCATCAATTTCGGACACCCCACCTACTTTTAAATACTTGTTAATTGATTTTTATTATTTGGAGTGGGTACATTCTTGATAAGGATTTCCGAAATTGATAGCCAAAAACCTGTATTGCAGAATCAAAGTAAGCAAATTCCTGAATTCATTTCATATGGATTACATAATAAATCATGCTTTATCAGTGATTGCGATTTAAAATCATGTGTCATCCCTATTTCAAAACTTTTAAATACGACATATATCCTTTTCGTCGTCACTTTCCAATGGCATGTTCCGCAACTTTTACTCGATTTGTCATAATTCGACAAATTTTTTTATTCTCTTAAATCTGATAAATTTATTTAGCTATAATACTTTTCGTACCGCCTATAGGGCAATTATATTAAGGCTTTCTGCAGTAGCATAGCGGGCTTTCGTTGTGATTGGTTAATTTTTTGTAGATCATTTCGTGACCTTCATAAATTCTATTGGTTCGG